CTGAAGGAATGGTAGCAGTGAAAGTGGGAAATAACAGACTCGAATTTAAATGGAGTGGACAGGTTATGGTAACTCTGACCTTGATGTGGTGAGGGTTAGTCTTAGGACCACCAAGGGCATGGTTATTTCCAAAGATCTTGCCCTTTGAGGTAAAGTAATGAGATTAATAGTTACGTAAAAGGTCTCAGCAGAAAGGAGGCAGATTGAAAGATCATTAGGGCCATGATGACAGCAACATAAAATGGAACATGAAGGGAAGGGTCAGGAGCTTGTGGAGTTTGTGCATCGCAGTCAAAGCCTGAACGTGACTCAGACTGGAAAAATATTCAAACCTGGCCATATTGAGTTTAAAATAAAGTGAACAATGTCTACACAAAATGGCTGCCAACACATGCAGAGTGTATGGCGTAACTAATTGTTGTTCTTCAGGAGTGGAATAAAACTTCTGGAATTTGAAGTCCTGCTAGTATTAGTTTGAGTAATCGTGCCTCTATTGATTCAGTAATGCCACTGATATGGCTTCGATTTGCATTTCATGGGAGGCCATCCATTGTCCAAAGTGGAAGATCAAAATAATGACCTCAGTCAATCAAAACCATTACATTGTGTGCATCAATTGACTCCTAGTCATGTCTAATAAACAACTGTAACGAAAACAAGAAACTGATTTCACATCCACATTTATAGCAAACACTGGAGATCAATGCTTCCCAGCTGCCATATTGACATACGGATATGTAAATATGCAATGACAGGGTCTGTTTTGAGGAAACAAGGCTTTTCTTTGAGGGAAGGTATCATGATACTGACTGGTGAGAGGGAATATCATAGTGACTTGTTGGCAAAATTCCACTTCAAATGTAACACAAAAACTTTGCTTGAGCAATGTTCATTTGGATACCTCAGATCTCCTTCTGGATTCATGACTGTGACTTCCTTGTGGATCTTCACGCTGCACTGCGTGAGGGCATAACATGAGGCTTCTTTGTGATGGATGGGAGAGCTCAGTAATTCCTTCAGCAGAATCGTGTGTCTTTCTCAAATTCCCACAGATTATCTGCTCACTGACCTCAAATGGTGAAAGCCATCACTGAAGCACTGTGGACTTAATGCTGCTCCAAAGACAACACAGAATGAGACAGCAACTATAACTTCACAAGGAAAAGCAGCAGCTTCCAGCAGCTTTCACACAACCTCCAGAGGGAGGCAGGGGAAGATCCACCCAGGAAGAGGTAGAAAAGGATGAGACCTCCTATCTATGGGCCTCACTGCCATTTCCTCAATGACCTGAGAAATAATGCAGGAACCAGTTACGAATGTTACTCCCTATCATTTTGGACTGTATCATCTGTTCGAAGAGCACTTGCACTCGGAAGAGTCGGGTGGTCATTCCCATCCCAGTAGCCAGCAAGGTCAGAGCTGACTGTTTATGCCAGCAGCTTGTTTCAAAGGGAAAACTGGGAACCTGTGTATCATCTTCCTATCAATTGAATTCAGGACATTACCGATGCTGTTTTCTTCAGAGCACAGTTCTTTCTATCATCCCTCCATGAGTGGGAATGTCAAGCAGCTTGGGCAGTGAAAATATGCACCATCGTCCACTTATGCCAACTGCAGGACAATACTGACTACACCCAGATTACTTTGAGAGTTCCCAATACCAACCTGCAGAGTTTACCAACAAAAACACATCAATTCAAAGTCCAAATTATATGTCACCTTCAGTGCCGCATTTCTGGAGGCCTGCACCAGATATCATGGGAGCTGCCGTAACTCCTGGATACTAGAGTGCTGTCAGGTTCCTGCCTTCTTCTAAGGTCCTTGTACCATATAGGGGTAGCTGCTGGGAGAAGAAGTGTAACCCCTCCTGGCTCATGATACCTTTTATGAACATCTCAGACTAACCAAAAGCAAAGATACAACACCTCTCACACTTCAAACAAGACACAACGTGGAAAGTGTACCTACTGCAGAGAAACCCAGGAAAGACAACAGTCTTCTCATATTTAACTGGCTCGGTGTAGGTTTTTCAAAAGGTAATAGAAGAGTTTGATGAGGGTAATACTGTTCATGTGGTGTATACATGGGCTTTCAAAGGCACTTGATACAATGCCACACAACAGACTTGTGAGAAAAGTTACAGGTTGTGGAATAAAAAGGTCAGTCGCAACACGAATACAAAATTGGCTGGGTGATAGGAAATACGGATTAATAGTCAATGGATATTTTTTGGGCTGGAGAAAGGTTTGTAATGGACTTCCACCGAGGTCAAAATCAGGACCTTTCCTTATTCTCATATATGTTAATGATTTAGATCTTGATGTGCAGAAAGAATTTCAAAGTTTCCAGGTGACATGAAATTTAGAAGATTTGTAAACTGTGAGCAGGACAGTGTAGAATTCCAAAATGACACATAAATGGATGGATTGAGTGAATAGTGGCAGATGAGCTTCAATGAAAGCAGTGCAAGTTGATACATTTTGGTAGGAAGAAAATTGAAAGACAAGATAAAAAGGAGGCACATCTGTCAAGGAGGTAACAGGAGCAGCGGAACCTGGGTTTATATGTGCACAGGTTACTGCAGGTGCAAACCAGGTGAAGAGAGAAGTACGGCATGCAGTATCCTCAGCTTTGTTCGGACAGGCATAGAATACAAATGCAAGGAACTTGTATAAAACACTTGTTGGACCCCAACTGGAGTATTGTGTACAGTTGTGGGTGCCATCTTATAGGAAGGAGGTGAAAACATTGAAGAGAATTGAAAAATGCTTTACAAGAATGGATCCAGGGATGAGAAACTTCAGTTATAAAAATAGATTGAAGAAATTGGTGCTGTTCCCAGATGAAGGTTCACCTTCTTGGATTATACTGCTGTAGGCTTTGGGATCACAGGCTGGAGACAGGTACTTCTGGAGTGCTCTGAGAAGAAGCTTTGAGGTAACCTGTCTGTCACTCATGCCCTTATGGGTATCTGCTGGCACCAACAGGTCTCCCTGAGAGGAAGGCGCCCCCTGAGTGAATTTGAGATGCTTTGTCTCCCTTCCTCCTTGCCATAGATGCTGAGCACCAATGGTTAAAGGGATGGAGTGAAGGTTTGTGTGCATTTCTGGCGGACACTGAGCGTGTTGGCGGTCCGCAGAGGCAGCCAGAGTAAACAAAGCACTGATAAATTGGGTGGACTTCTCCATCCTTCGATTCAGCTTACTGATAGCCACTGACAAATATCCCTGATGCTTTTGTGCATGTGTCTGCTGTTTAACAAAACCAGGCCAGGGGCAGGTACTGATCACCTTCCTGGAGCTGGGCTGGTGTGCTTGAGTGCCAACAACGTGGGGCATTTCTTCTTCAACCAGCTGTGGAGGAGTCAGTGATATGCTTACAAGGTTGTGCTCCCGTGTATAATCTAGAAAGAATACCCGCTGAGCGACAGGTCTAAACCTTTAGAGGATGTAGGTGAAAGCTGTCAGTGCATCCTCTGAGGGTTCAATAGATCCCTCCTCAAAGGTGGAGCTGGAGCTGAGGCACTGAAATATGGGTCTCTCCCTGGTGAAAGTTTGCTGGGTGCCACTAGTCCTGCAAACAAGAGGGAATTTTTTGCAGAAGATGCATAAAAGCTTGTGCAGATTTAGAATGAGTTAATGGTGTTAAAGAGCAAACAACAAAACACAGTAAAACTTTATGGTTTGGTTGGCCATTGAGGTCTCCCTAACACCATTTAAATGGCCATGTTTTTTTTCCAGCGAGATTGAATATATTATCCTTGCTACCTGATGTCCATTCCTATAATCCCTCGACATCCCGACATCCCAACACCCCATTGCCCCACACTCCGTACTGGTGTTGGGCCTCTCGGACCAATCATTGATCAATGTTTCCTGCACTGACACAGACGGAGAGATTAAACATAATGGAAATGTATGAAAGAGCAACTTACTGGTGACGCATGAGCAGGCAGGTGGTGAGGTGACCCCAGTGAGTGACTAGGAAGCACTCAACACAGGAAGTGTTAGGAGTTCAGGAAAAAAAGATACAAAATTATTCATGGGTCATGGAAGTCACTGGTTAGACCAGCATTTGTTGCCCATACCTAGTTGTTAAGAATCAACCATGTTGCTGTGGGTGCAGAGTCACATGTAGGCCAGACCAGGAAAGGATGGCAGATTTCCTTCCCTAGATGAGTTGTGTGACAGGCGTAGAATGGACATGATGCATACGATATTGAGAGTTGTAGCCCATGAGATTTGGTGAAATGCCTGTCCAGTCGCAGAGTTAGAGTGAGCGCTGACCCTGTGAGGGAGAGGTAGTAGTGAGAAGATGATAGCACCAAGCCTTGCAGACCACATAGATGATTGACCTTCATTCTACACTGCTGGGCTTTTCTTTTCACCTGAGGTATAGCACAATTCCAGCATACAGTTCATTACCAGGCTGGTTGATTCTGGTAGTGTTGTCTCCTGTGATGGTTGTTTGGAAAATGGATGGCCATCCACCAACCAACATCTCCAGGCACCTATCCACAAAGCTGAAAGTGAGTTCACCTTTCCTTTCTGCCGTGTCTTGATCGTTGAGACTTGGACAGTACAATGTGAGGTGTGGCTCCTGATCTGAAGCATCTGAAGCTGTGTGCAGCTGAGCTTAAATACCAGAGGCCTGAAAGCCCAGAGGTCTCAGCAGTAGCAAGCACTTTCTCTTCTGTGGTCTCTAGAATTCCTAGGAAGAGCATCAACAGCCTGATGCATAACTAAACTGGTGAAGATGTGGAAGATTGTGTGAGAAAAGTCACTCAAATCCATAATGGACTCGGTACCATAAATGTCACTTGACAACACACTTTGTCTGCAAGAGAAAAAAAGTCTGCTGGGTGTGTTCTTGCCTCACAATGTTCTTCAGACATATCCCTGTTCATATTTTGTTTTATCAGAAAGTGATTGACATGATACATTTCATTTTAATTTTAATGTTAATGTCGCAATGTTTTTTTTTCTCCCTTTTAATTCTAGTTGACACCAGTTGGGACCACAATCTTTACTGGCTTCTCAGGAAGAAATGGAGCAACTGACATAGATGATGGTCCTAATGGGCAGATTGAATATGTTATTCAATATAATCCAAATGACCCAGTAGGTATCAAATTGTGTTTTATTTCTTTTCTCCTAAAATAATGCCATCAGATGAAGTTAGATCTCTGACCGGAAATTGAGCAACATAAAACTGGGGACATATTTGCATGCATCCTGGACACAAATTAGAGTTTCCAGTGAGTCTTTAAAAAGGCAGAACCTCTATCCATCCATTAAGACTATTGATGTACATGAGATAGTTTTGAGGGTGAGATCTCCTTACATGATGAATTGCTGTATCTTCAGCTTTGTAGAGACCTGTGTACGTTCAAGTCTATTGATTGACTTGAGGCATAATGGTCTCCTAGGCATCAGGCGGATGAGATAGATCCAGGGCAGATCCATGTTGCACAGTCTGAGGCAGAGGTAAGGGTAGACAGAGCAGGGTGTTGGCTTCTCCAGCAGAGATGTCCACCAACATTTCTACCTGCAGCCACAAATCTCCGCAATCTATTGGCTTCCTATGACAGTGGGCAGCTGGATGCTATCATACTGCCACAGGGTCACATTGGCACCATGCAGTTGAGTAGGTTTTCTCGCTGTTCCCACATATTCTAATGAGGTCAGTGACAATGTTCCCTTTAAGGTATACTGTAGTGAGGCAACTTGAGGGTTTGAATGCATGCCACACAGAGGTCACCACAGTAAAGTTGCAACTCATATACGTTTGTGTAAAATGTTTTATGTTATGATGCTTTCGACTGTACGCTCTGAGAAAGATTACAAGGAATGCTGGTCAGTTTCAGAGGTCACAATCGCAGGTACAATTCTACAATAATTATAAATCTTTACAAATCATGGCTTAGGCATCAGCCAATGTATTGGTGTCCAGTCTAGGGCAACACACCATAGGAACAGGAGAGTAGAAATTAGAGAGGGTACACAGGAGGTTTACTTTTACATGTTCGTAGTATATTAATATCAAAAGCTGGTCAGATATTTATTGCCCATGCTAAATTGCCCTGGTGGTGGGCAATAGGGCAGCACGGTGGCTCAGTGATTAGCACTGCTGCCTCACAGCGCTAATTATTGTAGAATTGTACCTGCGATTGTGACCTCTGAAACTGATGAGCATTCCTTGTAATCTTTCTCAGAGCGTACAGTTGAAAGCATAACATAAAACATTTTACACAAACGTATATGAATTGCAACTTTACTGTGGTGATCTCTGTGTGGCATGCATTCAAATCCTCAAGTTGCCTCGGGCGACTGCCTGTGTGGAGCTTGCACATTCTCCCTGTGTCTGCGTGGATTTCCGCCAGGTGCTCCAGTTTCCTCCCACAGTCCAAAGACATGCAGGTTAGGTAGATTGGCCATGCTAAATTGCTGGTAATGTCCAGGGATGTGTAAATTAGGTAGATTAGCTATGGGAAATAAAAACCAAAAGAACTGCTGTAAATCAGGAATAAAAACAGAAGTTGCTGGCAAAGCTCAGCAGGTCTGGCAGCACCTGTGAAGAAAAAATCAGAGTTAACATTTCGGGTCTGGTCATTAACTCTGATTTTTTTCTTCACAGATGTTGCCGGACCTGCTGAGCTTTTCCAGCAACTTCTGTTTTTGTAGCTATGGGAAATGCAGGGTTACAGGGAAAGGGTAGGGGGATGGATCTGGATGGGATGCTATTCAGAGGGTGGTGCGGGCTTGTTGGGCCAAATCGCCAGTTTCCACACTGTAGGGATTCTGTGGTCGTGCTGAGGCACATTTTTGACCCAGTGACAGTGAAGCAGTAACAATATAGTTCCTTATCAGGACAGTGTGAAATTTTGAGGGAAATCTGCAATGATGGTGTTACCATACACTGCCACACTTGTTCCTCCAGCTGGTAGGGCTCACAGGTTTGGAAGGTGCTGTTAGAGAAGCCCTTATAAATTACTGCAATGCATCTAGTGATAAAAGGGTCTTTGAGGTTGCTGACTTCAATTGTGTGAAGACAAGAGGGAACTAGGATTGCTCTCCTCAGCCCATAAAAAGGCAAGGGAAAATTTGATAGAGGCATTTAAAGTGAGAAATACTTTTAATGGGGTTGATGGAGAAAAATGATTTCCAATGGCGGGAGAGCTGATGGAGGTTTATGATAATTGGCAAAAGAGCCAAAAGGGACCTTCCTGAAGAAGGGTCATTAGATTTGAAACATTAACTGTGTTTTCTGTCCACAGATGCTGCCAAACCTGCTGACTTTCTCCAGCGTTTTCTGTTTTTGTGTGTTTCAGGTCTCCAGAATTTGCAGCTCTTTGTTTTGTTATCCCAGTTAATGGTGTTCTTGTCAAAGAACCAGCATCACAGACTTAAAATCTGGCAGTTGTCTATTTATTTTCAGAACTTAAATATAAGCCTGCTTTTAGGATGTTGGTGCATGCATTCATTTTAAGCATCAATAATCTTAAATCTGGCTGCATTTCATCCCAAAATTCAGTCATTGCAATGTAATATCTTCCGTACCTTGATTTTAAATATAACTCTTGATGTTTTAAGCGATACTTTAAATTAGTTAATTGTGGTAAATGTCTGTTTTCCATTTGGAATTTTGCTGTTCAGGCAGTTAAGCAATGCAATAGTTTATAAAAAAGATACTCTTGACATTATGTTGATAGACGTACTTTACAGTTATGTATTGTGTAATTAAGTGATAACAGAAAAATACTTTTGTTATCTTACACTATGAAGAGATGGAATTATATTTTTCAAAAGGTTAACTTAAAATAGAGACATACAACCAAGGAGCAAAAGCCTCTTGGGTTTGCTCTGCCATTCAAAAAGACCATGGTTGACCAGATTATAACCTCAAATCCTCATTTGCACCTATCCTCACAATTTATCTTCCTCGTGCTTACCAAGAATATATCTACACTCTGCCTTTAAAATATTCAAGTGTTCTTCCTGACCATGTGTTCAGGAAGAGGTCTCCAAGTCCCGTAACCCTCTGTGAGAAAACAAATTGCCTCATTTGTGTTTTAAATGGGCCACTCTTGATTTTTAAACAATGACACCTATTTCTTGATTCTCCATGTCTATCTTCTCAAGACCTTTCACGATCTTATGTTTCAATTGTCACCTTTTACTCTTCTAAACTCAAACCTTGTTGCATAAGGTTCTTCATAAGGTTTTAGTCCAGTAAATCGACTCTGAACTGCTTCTGAACGCAGTTACTTTTTTCCTTAGATAAGGTGATGAATACTGTATACAGCGCTCTGATGTGTTCTCACCAGTGCCTATGATACTATGTAGTATTTTAGAGTGACTTAATGTCCAATTAAATGATAATAGGACAGTACTTTTGTTATCTCATGCTATGAAGAGATGGAATTATGTTTTACAAAAGGTTAAGGTAAAATATAGAGCCATATGAAACTGGAGAAAAAGGTATAACTGAAGTTTAACCTCCCTACTTTTGTATTCCCATCACAATAAATGATAACATTCTATTAGCTTTCCTAATTACTTTCAGTACCTGCAAACAAGGTTTTTGCAATTCAGGAAGTAAAACTTCCAAATCCCTCTGTATTTTAGAGCTCTGCAATCTTTCACCATTTAGATAATATGCTTCTCTTTTATTCTTTCTGCCAATTATATTGAACTAATCTTTTGATAAGATTATATTAATTATATTTATTAGGGGAAAACTAAAAATGTTGAACTATTTTCGTCTTGTGTTCACAGGAATCTAGTCAGACATTTGACATCCCACTCACATTGTCGGGAGCTGTGGTTTTAAGAAGAAGGTTAAATTATGAAGAAAAAACACGTTACTATGTCATTGTTCAAGCCAACGTAAGTGATTTATTTGAATTTCAATTATTCGGCATATACTCACCCTAACAATTACATACTATTTAATAAATTGGATGCTCTGACATGTGATATTACTTTTGTGTATACTTCAGTTAGTCTGACAACAACAATTAATGTTAAATTGTTGCCTAATAGTTTCAGAGTCATTCGCTTTTAGCAAAATGTGCTTTGGTAAGTAACTGTAAGAAGTAATAAAGCAATTTCCGATGTTAGAAGATAAATACAGCAGTGAATAGAATTCTTGAAGTGCTTACAAATTTTTTCTGGAACACTTTTAACTGACACATTTATTTGAGAATTATTGTGCTTTGAAATATAATTCATGCATCCAGTTGACATGATTACAAATTTCAAATACAATTTTTAGAACAGCATAAATTTTTTGTGTCACTGCTTTATTTTTCATTTATATTAAAAACTCTCCTGAAAATAACATTGATTTTCAAGTGTGTAATTCATCTAGGTTTTGACATTGTTATTACCTTAAAACATCATTGAACTATAAACAGTCACAGGTTTGAAAAAGGAATGATAATAATGGTATGTTTATAAATGATAACGCTCTGTAATATTATTGGTGTGTTCCTGACCTTCCCAAGCATGAAGGATACACGAGCATCTTTGTCACTAGGATTGAGAACATGTGATCACTTTCGCTTCCTCCAGCCACCTAGGTCAATCTCCATCTTATAAAAGTAAAATATAGATGTTGAAAACCTGAAATAAAAAGTGTCCCGAAGAAGATTCATATTGGACCCGATATGTTAGTTTTGTTTCTTTCCCCACAGATGCTGGCAGACCTGCAGAGTTTCTGTCGCACTTTCTGTTTTTATTTCAAAATTTCTCTGATCTGCCCCTTCACTAGACCTGAACTCCGGTTCACTTTTCTCTAGTTCCCTTTTGTCTCCTTATGCCCTCTCTGAACCCTTTCTGTGCATTAATCTACTCCACCCAAACCCCCTATTCCCCAAACGCCCTCTGTTGCCTTGACATTATTCCTTCTACTGACCACCCATCATTCTGTCCTGGTGTCCATGTTAACCAGCATCATTAGTCATTTTTTCTCTTCAGATTGCCCCTCTTTGTCCTTCAAAGGCAAGATTTTGACAAAAGGTCACAGAATAAGCAGAAAGTTTGAGACATTACTGACAGTTTAAGGCAGTGTTTTTTTTAAGGAATGTCAGTTTAAAATGTCTCACGTAAGCAGAGTAGGCAGAGTAAACATAAGTTGGAAGGTTTACAGATTATGGATGGATGGATCAGTAATGAGGCTGAACAGTTTGATTGTTTAAGACTCAGTAACCATAAAGTCTTCCTCTGAATTTGATTGAAGCATTAAGTAGCAGCTAGCATGGATCCACCTCAAGAACCCTCCCTTGTGTGCCTGAATCTCCCACTCGCAACTGCCCTCTTTTTGCTGACCGTTCTTTAGCAGCTGGTAAATCCCATGTTAATCATTTTAGTCACTTAATTCTCCAATTATTGGAAAGGTCCTAACTCCTCTATTCTCAATTCTGTCACCTTGCTGCAAGACATAATTGAATTGAATAGAATCCCTACTGTGTGAAGCAGGCCATTCAGCCCGTCGAATGCACACCGACCCTCCAAAGAGCATCCCACCCAAACCCATCGTGTTCCTGTAACTGTGCATTTCCCATGGCTAATCCACCTAACCTACCCATCCTTAGACACTGTGGGCAATTTAGCATGACCAATCCACTTAACCTGCACATCTTTGGATTATGGGAGTAAACCGGACACAGACACGAGGAGAATGTGGAAACTCCATACAGACAGCCATCCCAGGGTGGAATCAAACCTAGGTCCCTGGCAGTGTGAGGCAGCAGTGCTAACTGCTGAGCCACTATGCCACCCCTACTTATGTAATTATGTCCAACAAAAGGGAAGGATCGAACTGATTTAGTTTTACTGTCATCTGTACTCAAATGAGTACAGTGGAAAGTTTATAAGACGCCATTCATGGCATCACCTTAGGTACAGATTCCTGAGCCACCTGCCACCTTGCCTTCTTTATCTTTGGTGTAAATAGTGTTTTTACCATCTTTTAGACGGTTTGTTTCAGTGTGCTGATCGTGAGGCTCCTTCTAATCAACCCTAACTATGGATACATGAAGGCTGGTTTCTAGGTTATGTTCTTGGTGAGGTAACAGACAGTATTCATCACGGTATCATTGTTTTGTGTCAGCTCAGCCTCACTGCTAAAGGAGCTCCCTTGACTGGAGAAACCAACTTATATTGTGGAAAATGAAATCATTGTTTCTTAGAGTTACCCATCTTGAGAAGAGGATACTTGTCTTGATTTATCACAATTCATTTGGCTATTTCTTGGCTTTTGCTGTGATACAAACATATGAACAAGGAATAAGAGTCGGCCACCTGGTACTTTGAGCCTATTCAATAATATTACGGATGATCTGTTTTTAACCTCAGCTCTACATTCCTGCATATCCCTGATAATCTTTCATGTCCTTGATAATCAAGGATCTATCCACCTCTGCCTTAAAAATACTTAAAAATTCTGCATTCCCTGCCTTTGAGGAAGGGAATTCAAAGGCACTCAAACTTTTGAGAGAATATTTTTTTCCTTATCTATGTCTTAAATAGGCTGCTCTTATTTTTAATCTATGAGCCCTAGTTTTAGATACTTCCATGAGATGAAACATCTGCCTGGTCATGTTCCCTCAGGATCTTATATGTTTCAATTAAGTCACCTCTGACTGTTTTAAAGTCCAGACAAGACAAGTCCAGTCTGTCCAGCCTTTTCTGATAAGGCAATCTACTCAATCCAGGCATTCATTGAGTAAACCTTCTCTAAACTCTTTTCAATGCATTAGCATCCTTCTGTAAGTTTGGTGACCAATATTATACACAATGCTCCAGATGTGGCCTCGTTAATCTCCTGAAGCATGACCTCTCTACTGTTGTGTTCAGTCCCCTCACAAAACAATTGGTTTTGATATAATGCATGTTTCTTCAATGCCAATTGGTTTTAATGCAATTGAAGAATTATGGAACGCTAGTTGTAGAACACAAACTTTCCCTACCTGTATTGGCTATAACATGATTCCATCCCCATCATTTTAAATGTCGTGGTTATTGCGTGAATTTCTTATAGTGCAAGATGGCACTGCAGAACATAAGATTAGCTTTCCCAATTCATTGTTCTTCTTGCACACTAACAAAATGTGGTTCACGCAATAGCACACCCAGGTCACTCTCAAATTAGGTCTCTGCTAGCTCTCACCATTTAGGTAATACACATTTTTTTCCCTTTCTGCCAAAATTGACAATTTTGCACACTTCTACGTTGTACTCCATCTGCAAGGTGTTTGTCCCCTCGTTTCACCCATCGTTATGTCCTCTTCACAACTCACTTTCCATCCTATCTTTGTGCCATCAGCAAATTCAGCTACCATACCTTTGATTCCTTCATTCAAATCTCTTGCCTAAATTGTAAAGAATTGGGGCCCCAGCACTGACCCCTGTGGTAACTTACGAATTCCTGCCAGCCTGAAAAAGACCAATTTATTTCTACTTTCTTCTTGCTGTTAACCAGCCAATGTTCTATCCATACCAATATGTTTCCCCAACACCATGAGCTTTCATTTTCCACAATAACCTTTGATGTGACACCATATCAAATGTCTAAGTACAATGCATCCACTGGTTCCCTTTAATCCACAGCTCAAGTTACTTCTTCAAAGAACTCTGATAAATAAGTTTAGTTTAACTTTGACAAAACCATGCTGGCTGTAACTGATTACCTGGAATTTACCAGAGTGTCCACTTATAACCATTTTAAGAATAACTTCTAATGTTTTCCCTATGACAGATCTTAAAATAACTGGTCTGCAGTTTCTTATTTTCTGCATCCTTCCCTCTTTGAATAAAGGAATTGCAGCAGCTATTTTCAATCATAAAGGAATCTTCCCTGAATCTAACAAGTTTTGGAAAATTAAAACTAACGCATCAACTATCACACTAGCTACTCCTTTTAAGACCTGGTTAAGGCATTTTCCTTGATGTCTGTCACTCTGTGTTGGGTTTCTGGTTCTTTAAATGTCAGTCAAAATTCTTTTGTCCCTAATTCAATATGAAAGTTTCATACAAAGAGACAGTGGATGGCTTGGAAGATTCATCTTGCTCTGCTTAAATTAAATAGTCATTTGGTTGTACTTTACTATTACCTTAATATTATTTTAAACAATGCTGGATGATTCCAATTGGTCAGGGAATTGTCCTGAGAAATGAACCAGCAAATGGGTGTTGCCTATTTTGTTAAGTTGAATCCAGCTTGGTGCTTGTACATGTTAGAGACCAAAAAGACTGCAGCTGCTGGAATCCAACGTAAACAAACAAGAGGCCAGAAGAACACAGCAAGCCAGGCAGCATTTGGAGGAAAGGAGAAGTCAATGTTTCGGGTATTACCCTTCTTCAGGACGGATGTGGGATGTTGGGGGGAGCTGCAGATAAAGCGGGGGGGGGGGAGGTGCGATGGGGTAGCAGAATGGTGGTGATGGGTGGATACTGGTGCATGTTCTTCTGTCTACAAAGAGCAGAGCCCTGTGCGTTAATATATGTATCATGAAGTTCACAAAAGTGTGCCACACTGTGAGTCCTATTGACAATCCTAAATTGGCTGTCAGTATAATTCTTCACACACTCACAATTGTCCAGAAAAAGATCTGTGCTGTTACTGCTATCCCTAGATGTGCTAAAAATTCAACAAACATTTCTCCTGCTATCTGACCCAAAGTGATGTAGGTGCTGAGAGTGGACCAGCATGTTTGAGGCTTGTGTACCAATGTGTTCTCCTGGATCTACTGTTATATACATCTTTGTCTTGTTCATCAAACTAAATGCCGTTTCTTTCTTCAGTATGTAAAATATTTTGTTTGCTTGCAGAATTAAAACTAATAAGATAAGCAATGTCATGTGATAATTTTGAATACTGAGATGACCATTTCAAGATATTAACAGGAAATGACAAATTAGCTAAAGGTAAATTATTTCCACTGGCTCGGGATTCTAGACCTAGGGGTGCAGCCTGAGAATTAGAGCCAGATTATTCAGGAGAGATGTTAGGAAGCACTTTTACACACAAGGGGTGGGAGATGTTTGACACACTCTTCCACAAATGGCAGTGGAATGCTCGATCAATTTTTAAAAGCATTTTAAATCTGAGGTAGATTAATTTTTGTGAAGCAAATTTTTAAAGAGATATGAGCCTCAAGCAGGTATGTGGAGTTAGGCTACAGATCAGCCATGATCTCATTGATTGGCAGTACAGGCTCAAGAACTGAATGGTCTATTCCTCTTCCTATGGTCCATTAAAATACTAGATGTGGTAGGGGCGAAATGCTGAAGACAGGATACCACGGCATATTCAACTGAGTCAGAGATGAAAATTTTGTTTAGAATGACATTCAAAAGTGCATCATACATTTTTTTTTTCAGTTCTCTGGGTCAATGTGGAGACCAAGGAAAGTTGTAGATCTTTGGAAGTTTGATGAGGGAGTCAGGAAGAGAGTTCAAATCCAGATTTTGGACTGAGATTGGAGCTAATTTTTGGCCGTCAGTTTGAAGTTAGATACTATTTAAGAATGTAACTTATAGATGCTCAGGGAAGAGAAAAGAAACATTTGCACTGCACATATAGCTATTTCATAATTACAATGTATAATGCAGATAGTGTTAGATATTGTTAGGTGAGGGCTGTAATGGCAACTATAAGAAATATGATGTATGTTTGGTTCATTTTACATTGTAACATCTCATCATGTTTTGGTCATTTTTTTGTGTAAACTGACGAGCAGTGTATGAAGCAGATAAAAAAGACTACAATTAACTCATCAGAAAGAGAAAATTATAGACACATGAAACACACAATAGCCAGGTGAAGTTGAACAGCATGCAATGATGCAGGTACTCCCACATAAATAAATGATTATGCCACCCAATTTTCAGCATTTGCTACAGCTCTACTAGGTGATAATTAGGGACAATAATGCTGTATCAAAAATAAAAACAAATGCCAATATGAAACATGCAACCAGAGTAAATACTTGAAGCCTATTGCAGAGATCTATAGAAGAGGAATTTGCGTAGATGGAGGAGGGAAAATGTAATAGAGAGATGCGTTTGACAGAGTTACATGATGTATTCTAACCAGCATATACCAGTGTAATGAGTAACATTTTTTCTGTGTTGTTCATTCAGTGTAACACATTCTGGTGTTTTTCTTTAATTCACAGGACCGAGCTCCAAATCCAAATAATAGAAGGACCAGCACAACTACATTGACAGTTGATGTACTTGATGGAGATGATCTTGGCCCAAAATTCCTTCCATGTGAACTGGTCAACAATACGAGGGATTGCCGTCCCCTCACATACAAGGCCAGTTTGCCTGAGCTCACAGACCCGGTAAGCCTACATACCTGATTTCACTTTGTCTATTTTCTACTGCACAGTGATACTATGGTAAAATTGAGAGAACTGATTTGAGCACTTTAATGTAAATGAATTATTAAGATGTTGTATGCTTACCTTAATCAGTCACTCATGCTCTCACAATAGAAGTAAAATTAACTTTAAAGTTTTTAGCAAAGTTTACTTATATAGAAATAACTTCCACCAATGATTTAGCTATGAAAATGTAACGTTTTTGATTAAGATAACCTATATTTGTAATATCTTTAACTCATAATGCGGGAATGAAAAAAAAAACGATAATCTACTGTTGACTGTATCATAGCATTTCTTAAAAGCCAATAATTCAACATTCGATGCACAGTTGTTCCACTGAAGTGATGTTTGTTGATATTTTCTGCTTCAAAGCCCTGATGCATAGCAAGGATTTTGCAGCATAAGAATTAGAAATTCATGGACAGAGGATGTGCAATCCCCCTCTGTAGGGTCTGTTCATGCATTATAAACAACTGCAGTAGAAAATTTTGATTATCTGTGGAAGGAAGAGGGCTCACACTAAAATCTGCAAATTAAAATGTGTCAAATTAAGAGGAAATTTCTACATTAAGATCATGAAATTTGGGATTAACTATTACTATGCTGCTTTTTTTTGTGACTATGTTTCTTCATTTGATCTCTCTGACTTTGGACTTCCAACTGGAGTCTGGACTCTAAATAACTACATTATTCAGAATGAAGAAGCAGTAGAAGAAATAACAATATTGTTACAGCTTTCCAGTAATCTTTCCTTCAGGTTTGATAACTATTTCAAATTTCTTAGGTGAATGACTTTAGAATTCAAAATCACTTTGGTCTGAAATACTAGATAAACTATCCACTTTTGACTTCTTTGTATTTATGTCAGACTGTACATTAGGAAAGTACATGTAACTTGTATTATTGTTAAACTTATGGCTGTTTGAATGCCCAGTGTGCGTTACTTTTGCTGACTTGTTTTTTTCATATTGCTGACATCTCTGATATAAACTGTTAAAGCATTACTTTGGAGGATGTTGTACATTAGACCATGCCTCTCCTTGGTTCACGAGAATGGTATGGATGTAGATAAATCAGATATGCTATTTCTAGCTGTATTTGTACCAGGTATTATTTGGAAAACAAGCACACAGCCCTTGGTAGTAGCTAATTTTGGTCTTTTGAAAAACTGTAACACTTTTTTTATGTTGAACTCCTCAAAGGCCTTTGGAGTAAACTAGGAATGTTACTCCTTATTTCCAATGTTAGAATGTGAGTGGTAAAATGTCTGGCTGTCTCTGGGCATATTTTGTTCAAGGTAGTCATGCTGTGCATCATTGTGCAGGACCTAGAAATAATTCCTTTTACGCTGTCTGTAGTTCTCACCAACTGAGTTGCAGTTCAATCTAAGAATGAAAAGGTTAGGACAACAGATACACTGGAAATACTCAGCAGGTCAAATGATATCTTGTCATTGACCTTTTTCTCAGAATTGGAAAAGATAAGTGGTAATAGACTTTAAGGCAGTGGACTGCTAGTAAAAGAGGAAAGGAGAGTTTTAAAAAAAAAAGTGAGGATCTGTGATAATGTGGAAAACAGGAGAGGCTAAAAGACAAAAAGAATAATGACAAAAGGCAAAAAAAAATGGTAATAAAACACAGCATAATTCTAGGCAATAACTCGAGTCTGGAAAAATGGGGGCAATGATTATGGTTCAAAATTTTTGAGTTTATTTTTGAGACTGGAAGATTATAAAATGTCTAATTGAACTACAAGGTGTTGTTCCTCAAGTTCATGTTGTGCTTCATTAGAAGAACATAGGTAAGAGAAATTTGAATGAGATGCATTGGGAGAGGGTGAAGGAATGTATTACAATGACAGAAGGCCATTGCAGACTGAATTGAGGTGTTGTAGGAAACAATTACCATCTGTGTTCAGTCTTCTCATTATAAAGTAGACTGCATTTGAGCAGTATTATCATATCCTAAATAGAATGTGTTACAACTAAGCATAAATAAGTAAATTGTGGTTTCGCCTGGATGGATTGTTTGAGGCCCTAGATGGTGGTAAGGAAGTGGTAAAAATGCATATCCTAAATTAATGTAGTACCATTTGCCTGCGTTTGCCCCATATTCCTCTA